TAAAAGCCCTCCATAAATCAAGTCGAAAGTGTGTCTGGTTGAGATAAATTACACACCATATTCAGGAAATGTGTGGTTTTTCTTTGAAATAAAATGTACCTACCACAATGTACGAAGATTGGAGACATCATCACAAGAAATTAAGTGATGTTTTAATCATGGGGAGTATAATACGCGTTGCAGTCTTTTTCCCTTGATCGAAGTTTTTTCCCACTGGATTTTCCTGGTTGGTTTTTAATGAGGCAGCAAATAGTGCATATCAAAAGATATGTGTACTCTTTTTCCTTCACTAGAATTTTTTTCCCACAGGGTTTTTCCTAGTAAGGTTTTAACGAGACACATTATCTATGGACATCCAAGGGGGAGTGTTATAAATACATTGAATTAAGTGGATTATCCATTAAGCTTATCATAAACTTATCCTTATCATGGATATGTATTCCCAAGGTGATATGAACCTTTTTGGGATAGAAATGTATCTACTAATGTGACATTAAACATGGTGACCTTTTGGTTGATTTCTCTACCTATAAATAGAGATATCATTCACCATTGTAATATACTCTTGAATAGGAAGAAAATTCCTCTTCTTCTATCTACTTCTCTTGTCTTTTTCTCTTTATGATTATATTCATATACCTTGATTTTATAACAGAAAAAAGTTTATTTAAAAAAGGCATGAAAATAGTATTTTATGTATTCGTATCACTTGCTATTTTTTTTAATGATTTAAAATTTCAAAAATAAGAACATGAAAAGAAAATATAATGTATTGGTGGTGTCATCCTATAAGGAAGTAATTAAATTCTTTATTAATTAAAAGTACCAAATAATGAAGGGTTCAACATAAATTGTAACTTTTTGATAAATGATGGTAATTTTCTTGTGATATAATTTGGAATTAAATAAAAATGTGACCAATGATGATTTTTTTAATCAATAATTGTAATTACAAATTATCAAACGTGTAATAATACACTTATAAACGATAAAATTCGATCCGCATTAATCGTGTAGATAATATATAAAAATTTAAGTATCATAAATAAAGAAATGTCCACTCTTTCGGATACAGTTGGGGTTATTCAATAGAAAATTTTTCATATACTCACTCAAAAATAGTTTAACCATGCTTTTTGATTTGTTAATTACAATTCGTATCTATATTTTATAGGGAGGAGAGCGGCGAGTGAAATTGAGAGAGGGAGGAGAGCGGCGAGTGAGATTGAGAGAGAGTGGAGACTGATTAAGTATATGTATATTTGTTAGATAATTGTATATAGGCTCAAGTTATATGCGGCTTTATAAAGTTGTTCGCGTAATTCATTTAAACACATCATGACCTCATTTAAAGATAATACCTATTAATGGAACACCTAAAATACTTAAATTATGTATCTATTAAGCACAAAATACTGATGTGACAAAAAATGTGTTCTTCACATTCCATGACCAACAAATGATATTTTTCCATTTTCTTTTTCCCAAAAAAGTACACTATTAAAAAAAAGTGTGTTCTTCCCAGAATGTTACCTCAACATAATTCAATCATGTTTGTACTTACCTCCTATGCCCCTCCAACTCTCTTTCTCTCATCCTCTCCAATTTTTTTCTGTTTTTTCCTCTTTTTTCAGATTTTTAATATTTTGGTGAAGCTTTGTTTATTCTGATGAAAGTAAACTGAATTAATTTTTTTCGACAAAAATTTAATTGTTTCTTGTAACTGTGATAATGTTTGTTAATCGAAAGAAGATAAAGATAATGGGTAGGAGGTGTTGCCAATGCTCGATGAAAGAATGGAGGATGATTATTTGCATGTCAATGCCGACGGGAAGGGAAACCAGTTGAAGAAGAAGACGGCAGGGAAGGGGAGTTGATTAAAAAAACTATTTTTATTTTCTTTAAAATTCTTTTTATATTATTGAAATAGAATTTTTTAAAATTAAATTTAACTGTCACGTGTGACATGTCATTGTTTCATTGGTACACCTGCTATGCATTTGCGTTTCAACTACACATAACTATTAAACATTTTGTGATGACATGGCAGCATATGTGTAGTACACACATGAAAAAATGAAAGGGTATCATTTAATCAAAAAAATAATAATTTTATTTAAAAAAAAAATTAGCATCTCTTCATCTTCTTCTTTGACTCAACCACCATTGGAATCAACTTCTCACCACCACAATCATCGGTGTTCCACCATTAAAGTTCATTCCATTTTTTCACGAGCTGCAATCATTCTTCTTCTCTATGCCACCTTGTTTTTTGATTAAATATGTGTCACCATATCCACAGTGCTCTTTTCCTTTATTTTTTCGGTCATCTTCTTCCCCTTTTTTTCAGACCATCATCTTCTTTCTCCTTTTTTACCAGCCATCGAACACCACCTCATTTTTTTTCAAATTTATCATCGTCAATATCTTTTTTTCTTTTTAGCTTTTCAAACAATCAATCACAAATTTTAATTTGTTCAACGGAAAAGGGCCTAAAATACCCTCGAAGTATTAAAAATGGTACACAATTACCCCCCATCCACCTATTGGCCTCCAAATACCCTTCACATCCACCTTTGGGTCCAAATTTACCCCTTCATTAACGGACCAAAATTAAAAATAATTAAATAATAAGTTTTAATTACGTGCAATCAACCATTGGTTGCAATTTAATTATTTAAAATAATTTTAAACTCACCCATTACCCACCCATTTTAACTAAACCCGCCCCACTTGACCCAATTTTAAAAAAAAAACATCTAATTAAAATATCCTAAAACCTTATTCCTCCAATTTTTACAACTTCCATCGACTCCATTATCTTCATTTTCTTCTTCATCGACATTTTGAAGTTCTTTAGAAAAAGAATCAACCAAAATTTTCAAAAATTGTTCTACAATATGCTGTAAACAATTCTCCCTCACAATATAGGCACCATATGTGTGTGACAAAATAAAACGAATTTCCAAAATGTGTCATAATCTTCAATGACTAACTTGACCATGTTCTAGCAGATAAACATTAACTTCTCAGTTTTAGGTTGTTTACTGCCTGAGAAGTTAAAGGTACAAGCACTATTACAGCTGATGAGTCACTTGGTCTATGTGGGCAAAACTCATGTCGACGATGATAAATGATTTCATTATCCAAATTGGTTTCAGGTGTGACACTTACAATCGACCATGTACCCTTGCTGGTTAATGGTCCAATTTTCACAACTTCCATCGACTCGAAATTGCAGGATGAAGAAGAAGAAGAAGACAATGGAGTCGATGGAAGTTGTGAAAATTGGAGGAATAAGGTTTTAGGGTATTTTAATTAGATGTTTTTTTAAAAAATTGTGTCAAGTCGGGCGGGTTTAGTTAAAATGGGTCGGTAATGGGTGAGTTTAAAATTATTTTAAATAATTAAATTACAACCAATGGTTGAGTGCCACGTAATTAAAAATTATTATTTAATTATTTTTAATTTTGGTCCGTTAATGAAGGGGTAAATTTGGACCCAAAGGATGTGAAGGGTATTTGGGGGTCAATAGGTGGATGGGGGTAATTGTGTACCATTTTCAATACTTCGAGGGTATTTTAGGCCCTTTTCCGTTTGTTCAATAGAAAAAACAATGCCACCAATCATCTTTTTCTTTATATCAAATCAACTCAAACATGTATTAAATCTAAGCTTAAAAATAAAATTAATTATATAAAAAGAAGTAGAAAAACTTAGGTAATTTAAGTGTTTTTTAAAAAAAAAAAGGAGGAAAAAGATGAAGTTAGGGTGGTGGGGGGGAGGAGGGAGCAAGTCTGAGCGGAGGCAGGAACATACATACTTTAGGATTTTATTTTTTTAATTATAATTATTTTCGAGCACAAAAGACAGATTGCTTTTTTTTAAGACACGTGGCTTCTTTTAATTAATTAGTTTGTCATGTCATGGCAAGTGCATCACACACAATAGATATAAATTTCATAAGGTTAAAGTGTTCAATAGGTAATATCCCTAGTTGAGGTGTTTAAATGAATTATACGAATAACTTTAGATGGCCGCAGATGACTTACTATTATGCATATGTATTTGTATTTGAATTCATATATAATTGAATTGAGTAGTTAAAACATTTGTATTTGTAAATCCAATCTCTCACTTGCTTTATACAAACAGAAATTATACATTATAGTTGTATAATTTGTATTTCTATAAAGCGATAAAGAGAGACAAAAGAGAACTGGGCAGTGAAAGATTTGTATTTGTATATCCCGTCTCTCTCGTTTTATACAAAAACAAATCTATTATAAAGTGAGAGAGAGAGAGATTGACAGAAGCGAGAGAGAGACTGGGCAGGGAGAGAAGAGAGATGGGAAGAAATGATTGAAAAAGAGGAGAATGGCGAGCCAGATTTCGAAGAAAGGGGAGAGAGGCGAGAGAGAATGTAATTACAGCGAGAAGTTTTAAATTGTTATTAATGTAAACTATAATCATATTAACTAATTAACTAATATATATTTACATAACTGAATATTTTTCCCTTGTTCAAATGAATGAACAAATTGAGAACTTTTCATCTCTTATTGATTAGTATCCAAAGTCTATAAAGAACAACTACTTCAAACCCTCTCAAGTTCTCTATCTAAAGGACCAGTTCCTACTCAGTGTTGCCATTTTTAGTTGAAGCGAACTGCTCAAGTTAGTTATCTTAGGATTGTTTGATATGAAGGATAATATTAAATAGTCCTGAAATAATATTACAGTACCACTTAATTTGTTGTTTAATTGGCAAGTTCAAAATAACTTATTTCGAGATTAATAATTTGCACCGAGATAAGTTATCCCTCCCCTTGAATGATATAGTAACCCGATATGAAATAAGTAAATGACAAAAATCTTTTTTTCAACCTTTTGTTAATCACTATTTACATTTATGAAGGGCATTTTTGTAAACAAATATCTATTATTTTGAATACAACAAACCAAACATTCAATAAAATATAATCCCATCATAACTAATCTCATCACAAATCTCATCATAACTTGAATTGAAATCAAACGATCCCTTACAGTTTCATTACTTGAGTTGAAGGTCTATCGAGAATAATCTAGCTCTACCTTCAAAAAATAGGTAAGACTAGATAAATACTACCCTCCTCGAACCCCACTTCTAACAATTATGTTATTGCTCCTCAACAATCGACTAGAGCCAAGTGTCAATCACATCTCACCCAGCTTTGGGGCATGATAGTCTATCATGCTCAAGTTCTTCAATTGCCGGATCAATGGACAGTGAGTATCCTGAACATAAAAAGGCACATGGCCTTATTTTTTTTGTTATCCACCTGGTGTTCGGAGCTCGCAATGGAGTCCTGACTAAATCTAGATTGTGCGATACAGGGCCCTTCTGGTTAATAATGCAAATACAATAAAACTTATCTAGATTCTAGATGAATATGAAAATAATTTCCAATAGGGCCTATGAAAATTTTTTTGTTAATTCAATAGAACATACAAGTTCAACACTAATTTTCAACATGCATACTCAGATTTGGCAATGTCACTCTGTTCCAAGAAAAAGAATTTACAAAATGCTACCTCCTTTCAGTCCTCCCTCGATTAGAGGGGAAAGTAGTGTTTGACGATGTTTCTTCCTCCCTGAAAGGTCGAGTTGATGCATCTGCTATACTAGGTAACCTTGAAACACTACCCTTCCCTTTTCTGGCATTTGGACCGATCTCCTCTATCATATACTTCCAACCGTCTATAGGCCTCCTCCGACTAAATATATGGGTTTTAATAAAACTGGCAATCTGCATAATCAACATTTATGCAGCATTAGAAACAAGAGCAAATAATACATCGCACTGTTTCACTATCCAATGTCAAAGCCTTATAAATCAGACTAATATTCTTTTACTAATTTGCTATTATCCATTAGCGAACAGAATCATAATTCACAGAGGAATAGTGAGTACATGTTAAAATGAACACATTAAAAGATACAGATTTTCTTTAGAAAATTGTCAAGTATAGTCCAAAGATTTATACTTTTTACAACTGTAGTGCTAGCTTGCAAGCTCCTCCACTAATTCCAGGGGGCACCTACTATCTCCCACCAGTACATGATAACTCTCTCCACAAAGGCTTGGATGGATGAGAAGAAATCACCCAGAATTTTGTCGTAGCTAGGATTTGAACATGAGACCTCATGGTTCTCAATCCACTTCCTTGACCACCACCCCTTTGGGTGATAGGCAGAAGATAATTCAAAATGAGGTCTATCAAACATAAGAGAAACACGTAGCTATATTCTTGTCTACGAATAACTCACAAGTAACCATTCAAGTACCAAAATATCCTGGAATTGTGCAACTGACAAGAATGTGATGGAACTGGCTTAGAGGACATGAAATGAGAGAATCAAGTATTTGTTCAAGCTTGTATTGAGAAAGAAGCAACAACATACCCGGTGAAATCTCACAAGTGAGGTCTGGGGAGGATAGAATATAGGCGGACCTTAGACCTTACCACTACCCTGTGTGAAGAGTGGAAGATTTCATGAAAAAAGGTGTCAAGCCATCATGCTACTAAGTTATCCACCAACCACCGATTTTATTGATCAATAACATACTAGTATGACAAGGCAATGTAAACATACTCGGTGAATGATGTAAAGCTAGGATCGAAAATAGAGCATAGACTAGCTATCAGAAATGACTAGCTCCAAAGAGAATGATTACCACCAAAGATGTGAACCTCCAAGAAGATGAATAGGAAGGGAGTTCAGAGGGCTATATTTGGTCAAAAAGATTTGTTGAGGGCACTTACCTTTTCACTAGTAATGGAGGAAGAGTAGAACAAAAGTTTTTCCCCCTAAATGTACACTGCTCAGAGGACATACCACATTGGTGACATTCATATAAAAGGGAAGTAGTAGTTAAAGGAATATAGACCAAGGAATGTGGTAGTGCAACTTATGGAAACTCTATGCAGAGAGATCCACTGAGATACGACAATGTAAAGGTATCCCAATGCTTCGCAAGAAAAGCTTGAGTGACTAGAAAAGCCAATCTCAGAGGAATATTCAGTATTGGCTCTACAATGTAAGAGGAAAAGGCTCCAAAGATCAGACAGTTTTCACTTTGCCAACATCAAAGGCTGCTGGAAAATTATTAGGCAGAACATTCTGGTAGCCCTCCAACATTTTATGACATAAAAGATTTTAATAGAACAATAATTTATGCCTTGCCTCGAGAACTAATGGAGCACCTAGTAGAGGAGATGGTAAGCTTAATATCTTGCTTGTTTTTTATTCTTCTTTTTCATTTCATAAACTGTTGTGGAAGACTGGAAGTGACTTATACAAAAACAAATATTATGAAGTGATGGATAATGACTGAAATTTTATCACTCCTTCAGGTTCAATGTCTTCATCAAAGACAAGTCCTGGATGGTCAACAGAAAAATACACTTCTAGTTCAACTCTTGAAATCTTTGGACGAGTTAGCTGTTTAATGTTAATAAGTAGCACATCTTGCACCACTTGGTCTGTGTAGTTAAAAGGATTTTGATACCTTTCTTATCAAGGGTAAGAGATAAAAGGGAAAGAAAAAAAGGAGGATCTAGGCAAACTAGTATGCTTGTGGGAAAAAGACATATATCTAACCAAGGATTACTGATTCAGCAGATCTAACAAGAAGTTCGTCCAGAAACCAACAACAACAGTAGCATACCTAGTGGAATCCCACAAGTGAGGTCTGGAGAGGGTAGAGTGTACACACACCTACCACTACTTCAGAGAGGTAGAGAGGCTGTTTCCGAAAGACTCCAGCTCGAGTGCAGTAAATCCAAGTACAAAGAAGACGGAAATCATCTGAAAACCAAAAGGTTGAATATACCACAAACCTGGAATTTGTTAAATGCAATTCGGCGTTCAAATTCTTGGACTAAGATATCTTCTTCTCTTTGTGACATCTCCCATATATTCCCATCTTGTGTTTTTGAAGTCGTTTCCCAGCCATCAGGTTTGTTTTTGAACTCAGAAGTTGTGTTCGAATTGTTTGAGTCATCATTAGGTGAATCAAAAATCCTGAATATACAGAGTGTAGTGAAATCAGCAAGATATGGCAGGTGGTCATGGTATAAATCTTAGCCTCATAAGTTATTTATCATTAAATTACAATGTTGTTACACCTCCCCACCCCTCCTAAAAAAATAGAGAAGTAGAAGGCCAATACAACAGACAAAAAGTTCAAATTCAACCAACAGCATAATATAAACAAATCAGTATATTTTGACGAATTAGTAAAATTCCGTACCATCTAGCTTGACCATATGTTCAAAATCATCATGATATTAGATCAAATAGTAGATCTAACATTGACCAAGCATGCAAAAAAAATAGCCAGAAATGAAAATAGAGAAAAACATAAAATTGGCACACTTTAATACCATGCTACTAATCTAAACTATCAAAATAAGTCTATAGCTGCAAGTCTATTACTTACGGTCTGCTTTAATCATCAGTCTCTTTCAAGGCAATGTTTTAGTATAGGTAGTTGAAAAACTTCTGTCTCGCCAAAATAAAGATGTATTTACACCTATAGGATATGTCGAGATTCTTATATAGGAAAAAGGTCCAGTAAATCCCTTAGCATTAGGTTTAACCAAATGGCTCGTACAGTAAATGTATGCTAAAGGTCTCAAAAAAATCTCCACATAATAGACGTCAATTTATCCAAGTCACTAACTCTAAATTCTAAATCCACCTCTAGAAGAACTATTAAGACTCACAATCACATGCAAAATAGTTAAAGATCTAATTAAGAATCAATTCAAATCCACATCAAATAAACACAGTCAACTATATTAATCGATGATCAACTATGCCGCAATACAAACTATTTATGGTCGGTTAGATGAATCATTACATCCATAAGCACAGTCGATCACCATAAAACTATGCATCAAACCTACTTATCCTACCGAGAAAAAGAAAAAAAGAACCTACTTATCCCAAAAAAGAAAGATAAAAGACAATGCCTCATTTCCCAAACTATTTGGGTTCGACTATGAGTTTTCTATATCCATAAGCACAGATTTATGAATCAACAATCAACCACGCCACAACCCTATCATAAATGCATTAAATTATATTGATCAATGATCAACTACAACCCAATCTCAAACTACTTGTATATCTTCTATATTATAGCACAGACAATTATATCAATTAACGAGCAACTATGTCTCAACCTCAAACTAGTTGGAGTTCACTGCATGAATCTTATATATCCCCATATGCACAAACAATTATATCAATCAATGACCTATTACGCCTCAATTCCAAACTAATTGTGGTCTATGTATCCTCTATTTCCATAAGCATAGTCCACTACAATATATATTCATGAATTTTAAACCCAAAACCAAAAAAAAAATCAAATAAATAGCATTAAAAGGTGCGACTTTGATCATACTCTGAGCAGCTATCGAGAAGTTTTTCAATATCATCACCATTGCCACTACCACCAATAGAATCCCCAAGCTTAGCCTCTTCCATCTTCTCAATTTCCTTCAACCACAAACCCGCATGAACTCTCTGCTTCTTCAACCTATAATCCTTCTTTATATTCTCCAAACTATAAAGCGAACTTCCATTTTCGTTCATAACTATGCCCTCACTGCTATTTTTCTGCTTCCCCTTTCTTAAGTGCCAATTCTCATTCATATCCTCCACAAAGGCTTTAGTTTCCGCATCAACTTCCGAAACTCTAGGCTCAATTTGGGTAATTTCAGTAGTGTTGCTAGTGTCGTCAGGAAGTGCAAAATTTACGTCGGCTTCCCATGGAGCTCGATTCTTTCCAGAAAGGTCGTCGGGAAGCCACGCAGCTTCCCAGGCGTCGTTCCATTCGTCGTTGCCACTTTTGGTCGACAACCGCCGGCGGACGGCGGCGAAGAAGGTGGGGTTTATGAGGGGTTCTTTGAGAAAGGTTGATGAGAGTTTGCGGATCGGGTTCATTAGAAAATGGTCTGGGATTGAAAAGGGGCTTGAGGAGAACAAGGAATTTTTATATTTAAAAGGGAAAAATAATATTAATAAATTAATATTTATGTTTGGTGAGTTATTGGCTAATATCATTTCACAATTATGACCGAAATTGAATGTATATTCTTATATTTATCAAAGTGAAAAGAAATTATTAGTATGCTATCAAAAAAATAATAAGATTTATTCTTTAATCTATTTTTGTTAAAAAACTGATTGAACTAATAAAAGAAAATGATCACGTCTTGGCCACGATAAGAAGATCAAAATTTCTAAAAAAAATAAAAATATGAATAGAAATGAATCTTTTCATTCTCAGAATCTAAATTTTATGTATTGTTAGTTTATACGTTTTTTGCATCATCAAGTAAATTGACTTGCAACAATATATAAGTTTTGAAATACTTATACCGTATATGGTTAGAAAGATTATGTAAAAATATGTCATTTTAAAAATATTATGTTCAACAATTTAATTATTTTCTTTAATAAAATATTTAGGAATTATGTACTATATATACAATGCAATTTGCATTTTATATCATGTATAGAAATGATAAAAATTTAGTGAAATTATGTAGGCGTAAACGGTTATGAAAATAAAAAACACAATTACTTTATTCTAAAATTTTGAAGTTGGAGGATTTGGCCATATTTTTACAAAAAATATTTAGAATTTGAATATATATTTTTTTTAATATGATTTAAACCCTCAATTTCTAAAAATTAAAAAAATCACTTAACTTGACTAGCTTGTTAATGTGTATATTCATTAGACATGGTACATTTTTTATTGGTGGATTGAGTTTCTTTAAAAAATAGATAGAAGAATGAATTTTATAACTTTTTGGATAGTTCAAGGATACTTTTTATTCACTTATATAATAGAAGGATATACTTTATGTTTAGGTCATACTTCAAAAATGATTTTAGTAAAAAATCATATGTTTGTTTATAAATTAAAGTTATTTCATTACTGCCAAAAAAATGAAATATATTTTTGTTGTTTTTCAAAGACACTTGAAATATATGTGTCATCTGGCTGTCAAATATCTTTGTCATCCATCTATTGACTCTCAAATACCATGTCATCTGCATTTGGGTCCAATATTAACCATTTTTATAGAGGATTATCATTTAAATTTTTTTTTTAAAAATGTGTAGTGATTATCTATTGGCTACATTTAATTACTTAAATGAATTTTAAAAACTCACTTATTATTAATCATACCCGACACAAATTGACTACAATTGACTCGAGTTAACTATATTCAACTCAAACTAGCTATACTCGCCGATATATTTAGCTATTTGATTTAAAATATTACACCCTTCATTCCTAACATTTCGCTTCATCTTCCAACCTTACTTTCCGAATATATTTGCCCACAATATTGATAAACACTACCTAAATACAGACATGTATCACCATGAAAGATCACGAGTGTTTTGGTGATTATTAATGGTGATACATTTGTGCATTTAGATAGTGTTTCTTTAGATTGTAGGCGAATACTACAAATTAGTTTCGCATAACGAAATTGTTTGAAAATTCAGGTTACGATAAAAATGCTTAGAAGGAACCTGTTCCTCCGAATAGACACTTGTTTTCCCAAAAGACACAATGATTTTGGAAAGATATATCTGAACAGATGTGTTCACACTCTTATTCTAACAGACGCGTTTCTTGTTGCAATTGGCTATAAATAAATAGATTTCTCTTATTTTTAAACAATGAAAATTTTCTCTCTTTTGCATACATTTTCTTACAAATCAAATTGTCGAACGACCAAGTCTCTCTTGTTGCTATTTTTTGAGTTCGCTGAGATTATTGAATATTGAGGTGTCACTACTTCTTTAATAGTTAATTCATTTTATCTTGGGAGGAATCAATCTAAATTCTCGAGTACCTGAGTGAATTAAATTTCTTACGGATAACAATGAGTTGTGTGGACTCAGATTATTTATTTTCTATTTCTGTTTTTACTGACCTGAATACAGGAGATAACACATGTACGTAAATATATTTATATATGAAAGATGTGTTAAAATTAATATATAAATATATTTTGTAACACTTTTCAAATATAAATATAACTTAGGTCTTAGGCCTTTGGTGACTCGACGACTTTGAGTTCTTGCTCTTCAATTATCCTTTAATTAGTTAGATTAAAAATTAAAAGTTACTATAATGAATACTTCATCAAACAACACGATAAAACCTATGCAAGCACTCCTATTTAATGTTTATAATCAAACAACACGACAACAAGGTTTTACATTCTTAACATTTTGGTGAAGAACTAAAGTGCTTCTTCAAATACATACATGTGAAAGAAATATTTTAATAATATTATATATTGAAGTGATAGTTTAGAAGTGAAAAAATATGAAATTTAATTGAATCGTATCGACACCAAATAAAAAATCGATATGATTTAAATGATTTTAAAAATCCAATTTTAGTTATATACACTATAAAATATCAAAAAAAAATCTAATTTTCGATCATGTTAAAATAATCTTGATTTTCCGCTTTGTATGTCATAGAGTCTCTCAAAATCAATGAAATATCATAATAAAGAATAACTCTATCATAAAATTATTTTTAGTGATTGCGAGTGTTGATTTGGAAAACTTTCACCCACTTAAAAATAATTAATTACTCTCCTTAGCTATAGTTTGATAATTACAATTTGCAGCTACATGTTATATGGAGGAGAGAGGCAAGCGAGACTGGAAGAGAGAGGAGAGAGGCCAGAGAGAGGGGGAAAGAGTAGGAGAAAGGTGAATTATATATGTATATTGGTTAGATAATGTATATTATACATATGATTTTGTATATATGGCAAGAGAGATTGGGAGAGGGAGGAAGAGGCGAGCGAGACTGGGAGAGGGAGGAAGAGGCGAGGAGATCGAGAGAGGGAGAAGAGAGGCGAGTGAGAGAGGGCAGAGGGCTGGAGAGAGGTGAATTGTATATGTATATAATTGTATATTATACATATACATTTGTATATAGGGCAAGCGAAATTGGGAGGGAGGAGAGAGGTGAGCGAGATTGGGAGAGGGAGGAGAAAGGCGAGCGAGAGAAGGAAGAGAGTGGGAGAGAGGTGAATTGTATATGTATATAGGTTAAATAAATGTATATTATACATATGTATTTGTATATTCTGGCGAATTATACATATACAAACATGACTAATTATACAAATTCAGAGTCAGCCCACATAATTATTGTATAATGTTAGTTGTGAGTGGTAATCATAGCAAACTATAACTATGATGAGTAATTAAATAGTATAAATTTGCTTTGTTGCGTAATTTTTACTTATTTATAACATTATAAATAAGTTTAGTTAGTTCAATCAATAATTGATCATTTAATCATCGATTTATTGAGAAGAGACAAACTAAGAAAGTTAATTTTCTAACCAATCTTACTTCATAAATTTATTAATGTGCCTGATAAATAAGCTGTGATAATATTTTGTATTTCTTGTTTTTCTATAAAATTTATACTAAAATTTGACAAACGTTATAAATTAAAAGAGTAGTTCAAAGGAAGAATATAATAAAAAGGGAAAATTGTATATAATAGCAAACTAATAACCTAAAATAAATGAAGTAGCTAGGGTTTGATTTAATTGTGCTCCATAGCAAACGTTACCCAAAGTTTGCCAGACGCCTCTCTCCCAAAAATCTCGCTCGCCACTCTCCCTTTGCTCGCCTCTCGCTTTATACACAAAAGTGTATAAATTCTGTTTCTGTTTTGTATAAAGCGAGAGAAAATTGTATATACACATGCAAAAACATATATCTTCGTGTTAAACACTTAATTATACAATTTACACTTTTACTTCAATTCAATTGTAGACAAATGCAAATTTTATACAAATATTGCAGAGAAAAAGGCCAACGAATTATACAATTGCGAATCATACAATTACAGTGAAATACATTTTGCTCTAGCTTTATACAACAGAATTGTATATATTGTGTTTCTGTTTTTGTATAAAGAAAGAGAAAAACATATATCTTCCTGCTATACACTTATAATTATGCAATATACATACATTTTAATTCGATTAAATTGTGTGCAAAGCAAATTTTATAAAAATATTGCAGCGAATTATACAATTGTGCATTATACAATTGCAGTGAAATAGGATAGCGAATTATACAATTGCACAACAGGCCTGCGAATTATACAATTTAAGCCAACGAATTATACAATTGTATATGTATAGCGAATTATACAGTTTTGTGTTTGCTATGGAGAGCAATTATGCAAACTTTGCTATAACATACAAATATGAATTTTTTGTTTGCTATATGTGAAAGTTGTCCTAATAAAAATAACACCCACTAATTTATACAACTATGACTACATTTTAAAAATATGACCACTGTCTTGAAATTTCAGATTTCAAATTTATTATTATTATATCCAAGTTATTATCGTTCAATTTTTATTTTATTATATGTGAAAGTTACTCTATCTGAAATGAATTTTTTTTTTGGCTATTTGTGAAATTTTCTCAGGAATATAATATGATGAGTGACTTAAGTTGTAATCACTATACATACGCCCAAATATTGGGCTTAATGTTCAACAAAGGCCCGTTAGGGTTTTGTCGGAGGAAAATATATATATAGAAATTTGTAAACTTTAAAACCCTTGTGTAATTTACCCTTCGCCATTTCTGTTCTCTTCAGCAGATCGGCGACGACGGTGCCGGTGACCGGAAAGTATGGTGCATGTTTCCTTTTACCGCAACTGTAAGTATTCAATTTTGTATAAATCCATTCTCTTTCCTTATTCCTATGCAATGTGTATGCCAAATGTCCCAATAATAAACGATGAATCTTCATTGATTTTGTTTCTGAGATGCTAAATGTCTCTAGGTATGTTGTTTTGCTGTTCTAGTTTGGTTTTAGATAGTAGAGAGCCTGATCCTTGATCTTAGAATGCACATTTTAAAGATACGTTGATAACTCTATTCATAT